TATACGTGTTTTGTTCAACCATTTGCTGTTCCTCTCTCCTAGGCGATCCAAGTGATAGGAATGGAAACAGATGGCGATAATAGGCGATTTCTAATCATGCTGAAGGGATCGATAAATAAAATCTGCCAAAATAATCATTCTTTGGTTTGTTCCACAAAATGATTGATCAAATTTTGAAGGATGGAGTTATAAACATAAAAGGTGCATTATTCTACTACATAAGCGAATTGACATATTCAACGTTATTTGGTATTCAGTCGTTCATGCCTGGTGATTTTCCGTTATTAGTAAGAGAATATCATGACGGTATATATCCAGTTGCGTGCTACTACATTGCTAAGGTTATTCATTTCAACAAGAATTTATCAAATCAAAACTTAACTTAATTCTGTTGGTGGTAATCTTACATTGAAACTTTTATTTGTTAACCGAAACTTTTAGTTCTGCATAAGTATGAATGGATTTTAAAATTGCATTCGTCGGTTGAACATGTTTCAGTTCAATGCAACATATGAAATTGTTTAATGCCAACAATAATTTCATGTTTAAAGGTGTTTTCATATTTGCCAATATTCACTGTGGATGGTATGATAATGGTAATAGTGAGCTATTGCTTGATTGGACTGAGTACAAAAATTGGTACATTTTTAATTACATTGATGGTATGTGTGTTGGTTGAATGGTCAGCAGCTAGCGTTGGTATTATGATAAGTTCTGTAAGTTATTCCATCACTTGTGTTTGTACCTGTATATCAATTTCTGTCATTTGATGGTTTTTGTTGTCAGTTCTTGATTTATATCTTTTATCGTCAATGATAAATCGTTTTGCTTGTCAGTTTTGTTTTTTTGTTAACCTCAAACTTTTTGTTAACCTCAAACTTTTTGTTAACCTCAAACCGTTCGTTCCTTTCCTCGTCGACAGTTGTAACTTACTGCACNATCCATAGAAGTGAATCTCTGATTCATTCTGCTCAATGTGTTGCTAGAATTGCTGTTTGACAACCCAAAATAATGAAACCATTTTGAAGCTATTCTCATTCGAAATAAATTTGAAACATAAATCGCAATCATCAGTTTCGAGCATTCATTTCGATCCATATTTGCGTTTGTCTGCAAACTTTAACGTGAGTGTTAGTTGTTTAATTGAATAAGAAATAACGAAACAAAACATCAATTAATGAGAAGAATCGAAGGTGTCACCATCATACGCAGTCGCTGTATCGTTATCCGGCCCATTGTTAGCGGTATTCTCGATCACTGGTGGATTATACACAAACATTAGGATGATTCCTGAATGGATTCGTTGGATTCAATATTTCAGTTGGTTCGTTTTCGAATGTCATTTGCATCAATTAGAAATAATTGATAAACTGTTTCGAATGGATTTTCTGTAGCGTTCTACTTACGCTCGTCGCAATCGAGGTACGGTCAATTCGCGATCGTTTAAAAGTTCCCTAAGACTTCAAGACGATGAGGCTTCCTAAGATTCAAGCTGAGTCTTAGCGTGACGTCCGACTTTAACGGAACTCAGTTTGACGAAACTTTTCCAGACATCAATTGAGACCTCAACCGCAGCATGTTGTTGCTTTAGTCAAGATCAGGATGAGCTTGTTTGAGTGGCACTTTTGTGTAGACATCGATCAATGAAACGAATTGTTCATATTCAAATGCTTAAAAATAATATACTCCTATAAATTAGGTTTCGGTTCGGTTATGAGTCATTAATAACAAACGAATTTCAACGTTTCACCAACATTACTTGTTTGTTGGACAGTGGGAAGGTAATTTTATAGTGCTTTTTTGAAAATTATTTTGAGAAGGCGTGATATCATGGTGCACAATTTCATGTATTTTGTACGCTTTTGCTTCGATTCATTTTTGCTCATTTTTACGAATGAATTCATTCAATAGTCATGTTTCTGAAAAATTACTTTTCGATCTCATAGTTATTTCCAAATTTTCGAATCCTTTTGAGCGATATTCATCCGTTTTAATATTGATCAATCGACACTGTGGTTGGTATCAATCAATAACAGTTGTGTTTAATTTAAAGCCGGCTGAAATCTGTGAAGATTCCGGTGAAAGGATAATGAAGAATTTGAATTTTGATGCGATTAATTTATATTTCAACATGTGGATGATGGCGATTTATATTGTTTGCGTTTATGCAATTGGTTATATTGGTCTTGTGGTGCGAGTCAAATTAGCCAGATGATACTTTATCATTTCATTATCTCTAATCAAGTTGGCGTCTCTTCATGTTCGTATTCGGCATAACGTATCCACTGGATGAACCTATTGAAATTAACTGCAATGAATCTGTTCGTATTCACCCACAAGAATCGTGAACTACCTCATATACGCTTGAAGGAAAAACTATCATGTGGTTCAGTGCGTCGATTTTCCGAGAACAATTCGACGAGAATCGATTGCGTTACACTCTCACAGAACATAACCTTTAGTCTCTCAATATTTTCAAGTTTTTACCGCGAACTTATCATTTTGTCGTATATTTGGGGTGTTAATAACATATTGTAATGCAGCACGTTGAATGTGTACGATTATATCACAGTTTTTCTAATGCAAATACACAATGTTACAGACACCTTTGTATGTGAATAAATTCGTCGAAACATAGGATTCTACTCAGTGAATTATCACAATGAGCAATAATTGAATTACGACAATGAACAGTAATGTTATGTCGAAAACAGTGATTCATTCATTCAATCGACCATTAAAAACGAATAGAAGAAATTTGTGCAATGCATCTTTATTATGAATAATCATTTTTTACTCTTTTCAGTTGTAAATTTCTTTGAAATGATTCGTTGTGCATTTACTTGTTCAGCACGGTGTAATTGAAATAAACATTTAAAATCGTCTTCTCGTTGAATTCTTTCTGTCTTACTTCTCGAAATTCTCTTCATTTTTTTCATATAAATGAAGTGCAATCTCGTAAACTCCATTACCCATTTCATGACCGATCTTCATTTCTTCACTCCGCTTGCATAGTTCAATTATTGATTTTTTGAGATGATTGTTTTAAGAGAACATTTTTGGAATAAATTTTTCTGTCGATAGAATGAGAAATTTTCTGACTGAAGCGTTGGTGAAAATCGTCGTGAACACTTAATTCGAACGAAAACAACGACAAAAAAATTCCCAGTAAATTTCGTATCGTTTTCTTTTAAACGATAGTAATAGCTAAATTCGTGAACGGAATGTTTAATCAGAAATCGATTACAAAATAATTCATTCGTTACATTCCACTAGAGTTGAAATGTTGTTTTCAACACTTTTGAAGGTGCAGAGTTATATTGAGAGCGATTCTGACTTCGTATTCAAGGGGGATTTTGACGAAATCTTTGCATCTCTTCAACTCTTTGATCTCCTTGTTATTTCTCACCATAGGGTGAATTCAAATTCCTTTCAATCTCACAATCTTTTTTCTAATTTACTAACAGATTTTGAACAATGATCGCTCAAAATTTCAAAACCAAACGATGTATGCATATGGTGCATTTTTTAGAGTTGCTTTTGGAACGTTTCTTGATAGAAATTCATAATATGTTGCGATGATTTGACTGAAGAAGTTGTGATTGGTGGTGGTGTGTGCGAATGAATAATTTCAAAATGTTTTTGAGGTGAAAAAGGAAGATGACAATAGCGTACAATGAAGACATAGCATCGTCATCGATACTAAATCTTCTTCGTGTGCTGTTCAGATGGAGAGGAAGTGTGTGGAAGAGTGTGATTGGTGAATTGATTATCTGGACGATTGCTTATCTTTGTATATCGGGCATTTACAGACTCGGAATGAGCACTGAACAACAAAGGTGCTTTTTTGATCATTTATGCGATGATCAGGTCATCCGTTCTGCTCGATCTTTTCGCATCTCTTTTTGCATTTCTTTTTTTTTGTGACCAATGAATAGGGAATCGACGATTGTTAAAATTCTGTGAAATTTGATTGGCAAATTAATATGTGCTGGATGTTTCATTCGCTGAAGATATAGATTGCCAAATTAGGAGTCGGTTTCATGTCAGCGAAATATTTAGTGGTGGAGGGTTTAGTGCCTCAAAATTCAAATCAGGTCCTTCAGATTACCATAATAAATAGAGTGGAAATACTGGAGTTAGTTTGTCGTAAAACCACGAAATCAACTCGACGAATTTTGCAAACAGCCGAAAGTTTCAAATCTAACAACTAGGATCTGCCTTGAGGTGCAGTGAGGTTAAGCTGATTCAGTATGTTCTGAAGGTTTGTATTCAAAATTTTCATAAATTGTTTCTTGTAATGCAGAGCACATGAGTTTATTCGAGTTTTCCCATCAGCTAAATGTTCCTCTCAACAATGATACGTTTCAACAGATTTTTTGAACGTATAGCTGATTATTGCGACAAAGGTGTCAACGATATACCACTGACGTTCTTGCTGGGTTTCTTTGTGAGTATTGTAATACAGCGATGGAATGACGCATTCAAGAATATGGGTTATTTGTCGAAGTTCGTTGATATGTTCATTTAACGTTATTGTTGTTGCCTTAATATTCGTGATATTTGGACCTTGATTATTCTTACCTTCATGATGTATTGGCTGCTCATCACTGATCATACGCGTATGATGACTGCAAATTGTTCAACTTTCGAATAAGTGAATATGTGGTCCGCAGCCAATTTTGGAACTTTTCATAAATGTGTGCTATTTTAGCGAAATATTCAGAGATTCACCACTGTGTTAATATTTGAGCGTATGGATTATTTTGAGTTTGTACATTTGATAATATCATAATGTATAGTGCCTTATCGTTAGTGTACAGATAAAGCCCACTGTACGCAACATATGCTGCTCCTTGCACTTTGTAAGTAATTGCACAATCGGATACTGTTAGGAAAATAAGGTGAGGTGAAAAGACGATTGGAAATTTTTTAGAACGAACAATGAAAATGCTCAATTTTAGTCAAGCAATCCACATAAGTAATTTCATACTGGGTGATGATGATGACTCACGCTTGATACGTCGTACTGTAGCTCGTTATCTTTGCTTAGCACAAGTGATCGTCTTCAGGGATTTGAGCATTCGTGTTCGAAAACGTTTTCCCACTATGGAAAGTATCGTGAAAGCAGGCATGTGTTTCATTGTTTCAGTGATTTTTGCGTTGATTATTCCACATTCATCATGGATTACCTTCTTGAATATCACTATTACTTATGTTTGACTCATAATTGCTGCTATTTCGCAGCGTTGCCAGCAAGTCCCCGTCTTCAGTTCCCCAGTGATCTCTCAAAACGATTACTGACCACACCGGTCGTTTTTCTTGCATGTTCCCCCCCNCCCTCTGCTCACCGAAGCAATCTTTTTGAAGCCAAATTTTTCCGCCTAAAAAAGCAACCAGATAACGTCAAAAACTTGCCAGCTTGCTCTATCACAAGTCTGATAAATAACTCAGCATAATATGACCAGAAAGGAGAATGTGATCGAATGAATAATGCGTGCAGAAAAAGACATCAAAAGTATTTCCAACCCCCACCTCAACAGTTCAACGCATTCTCCGCTGGGTTACGCAAACACATTTATTTGAACACAGCAACATTAGCTCAATGGCCATTTCGTCTAAACAGATCACAAATAAGCTTATAACGTCGCTCCTCATCGGGCTTAACAAATTTGAATACAGCATCCGTAATCGGCATTTGAGGCCCTTCAATGTGATAGGTGTTCCATCCCATATCCCAGGTTCTCTGGTAAGATCATTAAAAACTATTTGAAGGTTTCATGATGGAACATGAAAAGGCCAAGTTTGATTCGTACAAATGTGATTATGATAAATACTGGGTGCCTATCAACTGGGCATTTGCGCTCGTCATTAGAGCTCGAAAGGACGACAAAATTTTGGCTGATACGTATGCTGTGAAGATATGTGATGTACGTTTTTACAAATTATCTTTGACTGTTTCGATTTAGTTGTTCGCAGTTGATCTCCAATTCGTTCGATGAAATTTTGAGTGATGACTGAATTTCTGAAATTCTGAAGATAGAAAGAATGATATTCAATTGGAGAGGTGTGATGAAGATATTTCATCAGGAACTCTCAAGAAATGTATTGGAATATTCCTCGATCGAAATATTTACATCATTAGAATTATTTGTCAAACGTAGAAATTTAGCGTAAATTCCGGGTTTTTTTGAAATTGTTCTTACAGGAAATTCGAAATTACAGGAAATTCGAGCATATCGTGATAGTCTGCAAATGTTATGCAATTATGATTGGGTGGAAATACCACTGGTTTATCCACAGGTGATACTCTACTCAATATATTCATCCTCTTTAACAGACTTGATTACAGTACTAAAGCTCGATGTATTGACCGCAAGTTTAAACGTCAATTGAATTAATGAATCGTTTCGAGGTCATGCTTGCAAGCCTCATTAATATGAGCACTGAAGCTCGGACACGAGATGAACCATTGAAAGTGGACATGGCCAACATTGCGTGTTGGCCATGTAATTGCTGAATGCTGTAGATGAACTGCGTTTTGGAAGTGCGCGAAATTGAGACGGAAACTTTGCTATTCAAAAAGAAAACTTTTGAATTTGCTATTCAAATATCTGATTGTGAGCATCAGTGGCAGCAGTTCTGAGCCGTCAGGCTTTGATTGATCTGAACGATGCAATATCGTTTCATATCTTATCCATTCGCATCTGCTGACCCCTTTATATCATATTCGCGACTTTTCAGCTGCACACAGCCAGCATCTCAAGACCGAAATTTCAGGTTGTCTTTCTCTCAGTTCATACTTACTTCTTCGTTTGTCTCATTGGACGTCAGTTCATCATTGGTGTTGATGCACCAAACCACAGTCAAGTTAGCATCAATTTTTGAAAGTTTTATTAATTTACAATTAGTCGTCTCTTATTTCGAATAACACATGCATTGAACGCTGACTGCGCTCAATCCAACAACATGGTGAAAATATTCATTTGCAGCTGATTTATACTTTGCTCTGTCCTCCAATCTTCAGTGATCGATGCTTGCGATTCATTTCTCAAGAGCTTAATTTTTGAAACTTTTTTTAAAGTAGAGCGAACGTTTCAGATCGATATAATATTTCCAATAATGACAATGTTACAATATTTATTTTTTGTTGGTTGGATGAAAGTCGCCGAAAGTCTGCTGAATCCGTTCGGTGAAGACGACGATGATTTTGAATGCAATTTCTTGATCGATCGAAATTTCGCGGTAATTTTCGGTGTATTTCATCACTAACATTATGCGTACGGTTTACCGCAGTTATATCTATGCCCAATCCATGTTTTGCTTACCAAGTCAATGAATTTTAAGCCCATGCATAATGATTAGTTCTAGGCTAGGTCATTTCAATGACAGTAAACAAATTCAGTTCAGTGATTAATCATTTAATAATCAAATCCTGACATTGAGGTATTGTCCAATTTTATACCTAGGCTTGCTATAATCGTTAAGACTTGTTTCAGCCGATTACCAAACTTTTTTCATCAAAAACTCAGATAGATATAAATTCCCCGTATTTTTGGACATGATAATATGTACTTAAGGGTAATTTTTTTCAAATTCCTCAGAAAGGGAGTTGATGAATATGCAGACAGGTCTATCGAATGATCGCAATAGTAGTTTTACATATTGACAATGAGTTCAATTAATATGACGTTTCAAGCTTATCTGCAATGAGGCGTTCATGTACAAAAAATGAGTAAAATTCTCTGTCGTCGCATGGGGAAACGTATTCAATAAAGGGTGAATGCGTTAAGGCAGTGTTTCTGATGGATTTCAGTACATTGAATTAGTGGTCTAATACTTCGTGGTTTGTAGGCCTGTTGCACACCGTCATTTCCACTCAACAATCCATACGATCGCCATTCCCTCCGCGCTTCCTTCAACAATCCTGTTTTAAGGCAACATGTCAATAGAGAAACGGATGACTAATTCACTGATTAAAAAATCTGCTGCCTAGAATTTGTCGATGATATCAGAGGATGAAATATATGTGATGAATGTACTTCCTTGTGATGAAATATGTATGGAACAATTCTGAATGAAATATTGAGAAGATCTCAATAGCAGTTCTCAAAACTTTCCACATTTTCCTGCGGTTTTAAATGCCCCAGAGGGAATCCTCTTCCCAATGACAATCATTGTACGNAGGGTGGATATACACGTCAGAATTTTTTTGTAGTGTAAGCATTCGAGAAAGGGTATCCATTAGTTTATTCAAGATAAAGCGGTACATAATCTTGTTATTAAATCAAGTCGTTTAACGATGGTCATTTTAACCGTATACTAATCGAAAATTTCTCTATCAGACAAGTTTGTGCATTGTTGATGAAGCGCATGATGACGTGCCTCCATTGGAAAAGGATCTGTTCTGGTCGAGTGGTGACATTGAACCGTTATATCTGAAGGATTCTAATCCAGCTCCGGTCAACCCTATGATTGGCTCGGCTGCTCGTGCTGCTGGGTATTGCCTTCTTTATTTACTCACTTGCATATTTATTCATTCGTTCACACATTAATTTATGTGAGTACGTTCATTTTTTCAGTTACTTTATTGTATTCGACAGATTGAACGTTATGTTCAATTCCGTGCCATCGTTCATATCAGTTGACAAAAGACATTTCGAAAATTGTACTGACGAATTCATATCAGTTCGAATTTTTTCCGTACCGTCCAAAAACGTATAATACATGTTTATGAGCTTTTTCGAAGGAAATCGAAAAAAAATTTGAAAAATATCCCACTGAAAACAACACATTTTTTGCTTAACACTAACGACATTCACTTCGATGACCACAGTAATATAATTGACCTGACTGTCCCAAAACGAACCCTGAATTCAGCTCAGTCAAGGATCAGCCGGAACCAGAGATGGTTGCTAGGTCGTTCGATCATAAGCCTGAATCACTGATGAAACGAGCGTTTACAACGGTAGGCGGCAAGAAGTTCACAGCAGCTGACGACAGTGTTATTAACAGATCATCAGCGAGGTGATCCCTCAAGTCATTCCAGTCTTCATTCATCGTTCATTTCGAATCGGAACAACTCCAACCCTGCTTGTTGCACTGCCGAATGACGCTTCAAATTTACTTTTGTCAAAAGATTTTCTTAAAATTTCGGTTCATCTCAATACCATTTTGTGGCATTGACGGCTTGAAGTCCACGGAATACAGCTTGATTTGTTAATGCGCAAGGATGTGATCACTCAAGAATTTATCTCAATACAAAGAAAACTTCTTCCTGCAATTCAAACATGATAATCGAGTGGGTGCGCATGCATTCTCTGAAAATTATTCAAAAGAAATACATTTCAGCTGTATGGTGCAAGCAGGCGATATGATCGATGGAGTGCATCCACAAGGTGCTATGTTCAGATTGGATCGGTTGAAACGACACAATTTGTCATTTGGTAATTCTGGTGTATCCCATTCGAAACTCTCCGTAATTCCCGATCGAGCTGAAGAACCGAGCAGTGTGTTTGTTCGATGTTTGACTCATTACCCAACGACGCGATACCGTTTTTCGGTCGAGGGGGGGGGGGGGGGGGGGGTGGGAAGGAGGATGCCATTTTCTGTTCTTTTGTTTTTCTCTCGAAAAAACACCTCATTGCAATTTTGGATTTCGAATACACGTTCCATTTCAGTTAGCGATTGTCTTCAAAATTATACACTAGCAAATTGCTGACAGTTTCAAAAACAATTCGAAAGGAGGAATTCGTTAGCAACGAAGGCCCGAAGAATATGTGATAACTGTAATCCCATAATCATAATTTTGTGGTAATAGATTGCAACATGATTTCGAAATTTGCAGACGTTCGACACGCTCGATTCGCAGCTGATCCTGTTGAGGATCGTGAAAAGTCGATGGAAACTAGATTGACCATGGTAAGTTTTTTGTTTGGCAAATGAAGTGCATCTGGAATAGAGTTGCGATTTGAAATCATTGCTGTTTTGACTTAGGTAAAGGAAATTCGAGAAAGTTCCGTGGATGATGACATCAGCGTTTGCTCAAACGAAGATGTTGGAAGCAGGAAACGAAATGGAACAAAATGATGTTTCTCCCAGTGTACATTAATAAAATGATAAAACTTGTCAACAACGAAACATTGATTAATTTTTTCTAAATCAAAAATTGTCATACACTATCGTGATTAGTGAATCGCGAGAGGAATTTAAAACGATGATTCATATATTCTAAACGTTCCCATGAAGACATTTATGGAAACTCTGATCGAGAAAACGTACTGTAGGGAATAGTGATTTAGTAGACATAACAAAATATAAGATGGTCGATATGATAACAAACGGATCGGAATGAAAACCAACACCAGATTATGAATATCGAAAGATGAATCACTGATCGCCATGCTCCTTGTTCTGCACGGTTTATCTTTATCGCTACTACTTTATTGCAAGCCGTCATATCGGTAATATTACTGATCGTCAATAATAGTTCGAAATAAGGAATTGGAATTTAAAGGATATTGTCTCGAAGCATTGTTGCGTTTATTGTTGTTCGTATTACTATTAATGTTATCATAATTGTTGTATTATTAACATCATTGATATTATCAATATTGTTACTGATATTATTATAAAAATCGTCGTTATTATTGAAATTGTTATGAACGACTGTGCGAAAGTAGAAATTTCACGTTTCAAAGATTTGAGCAGATTCACAGTCGAAATGAGTCGAGAAATGAAGAGCCGGAGAAAGTGGAATCGTTATCCCAAGTTATTTCATCACTGAATATTGAAATGTTTTCTTATTTTGAAGGAACATATTTCTAAACGTTTATTAGCGCTTTTATCATAATAAGCAAACATATCATTCGATAAGGACAATAAAATGAAATAAATTATTCCAAACATACTGATGACCACAAATGAAAACGACACAAATCATGAACAACTCATTATGGAAGCACTTTAAACAAAATCTTGAAGTCGTGATTACCTTGAAATATGCATACAGACGTTCAACACACGAATGAATTCACGAGATGTTCGTTCAATGAAGCGGCAGAACACACTACGATAAAGAATTCATGAAAAAAATCGTAAAATTAGTTGACTGCAACGTAAATGACATTTTGTTTTACACCACATACAATTCGTTTTCCCTTACGTACAGATCGTTTCACTTGAACATTACTCGAAAGTTGCAATTAACTGAAAATTTATTGAATACTACGCTCAGTATTTAACGAAAACGCTGAACGAGTTCTAATCAAGTTGATGAACGTTCGAAAGAATTCTGAATAAAGAAAGGATGGGCTTAGAAGAAAGCACGAAATTACAACAATGGAATTAAAATAATACGAACTTCGTAGTGGCACATTGTTTTTGTGATGAATTCCGCGAAGAACAGTGGTGTTTCACAATAAAAAGACACCACCAATTAAAAAATTACGAATAACTGCATCACAGTGACATCAGTCGAACACAGCGACACCATTCAAATGAGATCTATTTATGCTGAATGCAAATGAGATACAAGACGTTGTGAAGATCGAAGAGCAACAAACCGAATCAACGAAATGGCGACACAATAAAATAATAATTGACTTATGAAACAATCTACGAAACATCGGTATTATGTACTATCAAAAGTGACACTCAATTCGAACGCTTCTCAAGGGGCGATTTCATGTTTCCGTAAAGAAGAAAAAAGTTTGCAGGAACTTTGTGAGAACATTCGCAAAATTCTCGATTACCACATTCAAAAATCGGTCAGATCACAAATCTGACGGTTCGAGTGTCATTTATGAATAGAAACATTCAAAAACTAAATAATTTATATGTGAAAACATTTTTGAGCAATAGATAAGAAGTGTTCACCAATATAATAATAGCTACAAAACAAAATCATGCATGGAACAAGTGTGCGTATGAAATCAATGAGAAAGAATTCCTTAACCAAATTTTCTATTGTATTCAAGTTTTTTTGCTCTATTCGGTCCATATTTTTGCCTGTAATTCCACAAAACATTCTCATATATTCAGTTCAGGAAAGGAGCTGCTAATAAATCATGAGAAGTTCTACGAACTGACAACAAAAAATGGATGAGTAGGGAAAAAATTCTTCGGAACCGACAGAAATTAGTTTTTCTAATAAAAATTCATGGTGGCTATTCCAGTAAAGCTGCGCTTTGGTTCGTTTCGGAATATACTCCTCAATAAATCAACTTGCTAATTTTGATGAGAGTGTTTGATGAAAATCACTGTCTACAGAGGAAAGTCGAGAACAGAGACTTCATGACACAAAAATAAGATGAAAGCAATTGCAAATAAAGTTAACGGAGGAAATCGCAGAAATGCTTGTGTGTTTAATGTGTGATTTTGACATTATGTGGAAACGATCATGCAGAAGTTTTGCCTAGAAATGAAAGAATTTCTTGAATGAATGTGGAACAGGTGTGCGTATGAAATGTATGTGCGTGTGGTTATTGCCGGAATGGTAAGCAACCACACCTTGTTGAAATGAATCATGCACTTTCTACAGAAAAAGGACCCAAAAAAAAGCCTTTGAAAAGATTATTTTTGTATGATCGCATATATATAATAGTATTGTACAGGATGGTTGAATCAGTGAAAACAAAAAAATAATTCGGAAGGAAGCCCAATGAAGAAGTAAAGTAGCACAACTAAGGATAACACAACTGATAAATTAACCGCTTCTATTATGATGACATCAACAGTATTCACATTAGTAATAATGACAACAACAAGCTCAGAAACAAAAAAAGAGATCAATGTTAATAAAATGAACATCGGAGATCAACGAAAACACCATAAGATAATCAAATTTTTTGATTGAATAGAAAATACTGCAAAAAAGGAATTTTTTATAGTAAAATCAGTGAAGAGATTACATTACGCAAATAGCTGACTTAACTTTTCGAGAGTGGATTGACGATAAGATTAAACGATGATTGACGGAACATCAAGTGCTTGTCTCACCATAAATAGTTTCAGTAATGTTCACATTGCAGACAAATTTGAAATCAAACCAAAACAGTTGCATTTCCTCCTCGCATTATCAAAGTCGCTATTATCAACGACATCCACATGCATTTCAGAATCTGGATATCCAGTGTATTTGTACAAGAAAACAGCAACAATTATGCAAGATAAGGATGCGTAGCAATGAAAATAAAAACAAAAAATGAACAAAGTGTACAATTAAATTTGAAGTCAGCATAATGACAACAGAACTTTGAAGAGACATAAATTGCAAACGTAACGAGAAAATGAGATGACCAGACATAAAAGATCAAACAGAAGACTGTTGAACAAACAAACAACACTGCTGTTGATCAGCAATCGAATAAAAGCGCACTTCTAGTAATCGCAAGAGAACTGTTTCAATTCGCTGAAAACTTCAGTGAAAAATGTTGAGGATGAATTCAGTCGTAGCATATCTGCACTTCGATCGTTCACTATTTTAACGCATCGATCCCAAAAACGATCACGATTCTGAAAAATTTCATCTTTTAGTCAAAAATTGAACTGAACGATTGTAATCATTTAACGTTAACTCGAATCAGTTAACGCAATGAACCTGATCGACCATCCTGATAACATGTGATGTGAATGAACAACTAAATTCATATTTTCACTTTCCCAAAATCAACGATTCGAATATTTTCATGCTCACTTGCAGTGAACGAGTGAATGAAAAATATCAAATGCAACTTCTTCATTGTCCCTTTTCAATTCATATCACTGCAAAAAGACACAAATATGGATGTGCCTATTTTCTACCACTTTATAGTCACAACGTTGCAAGCAAATACGAATAGTGACTCATCAAAAGCACTCCCGTCTCGTATGTCTGAATCTCTTTGAGCTGTCGAATAGACGAAACAGAATGTGCGTTCACATTCATTTATTCGTTTGTCTGTCTTTCTGAGAAACGAATCGATAAATGCTATCAAAACAAATGAAGCCTTCTACGCAATATATAGGAGATTTGCAGGAATGGAAAGTTGAATCGACAATGAAATGGAATGGAAGTGTGCAGAAAAGATTTAAATGTTCGAAATGAACACAAAACGAATTCAATTCATTTACGATGCAATAAGGTTAATGCACCAAAAAAATGCGTGAAACAAATATTTGAACGGAAAAGGAGAGCAAGTGCACTGAAGGAGAGGAGAGTTCATTGAAAATTTTCACTGAGTTGAATTAAATTTCTTCATTTTTTTTCGGACAAAGAAAGAGAAACGAAGTGAAGTTTTTAATTCAAATGATTTTTGAACATGCTAAAACTTCATTTATTTTATCCAAACGCGTTCATTTGCTTGATGTTATTCGAACGGGTGGCACAAAGAAGTGAATGAGTGATGACTGAATGAAGAGTGAAAATCGAACGTAAAAATGCTTGAGAATTTGAATTGATCGAAAAATTTCGATTTTCACTAAGAATGCAGTGGATAAGAAAATAACGCAAACAGGAGACCAACTATGAAAGATATCAATCACTCTGAAAGCAGAATGAGATAACTCTTTACCTGATCAACGATGAAAGGCTTCAGAGGATAAGAGATTTCATTGCCCATATAACTGTAACTGATGTAAAGACATGTCAACACAAGCGCTTGTAATTCCTCAACTGTTTCGATACTATCGTCTTCGGGAATCATATCCTTGATCAACATGTAAACGAATACCAAATTCGCTGGATTTATGAACGCAACATCTTGCCAACCCTGAATATACAGCTATATGTCGAATAAAAGCTGAAGTATATTGAAGAAAAAAACGAAATATACATTTACCGATCGGATGAACTGTGAAAAATTTATGAATTTCATCTTCATATTTTATTTCTGATGCTCATTTTAATTTACGTTCAACATGTTGCCGATAATTTAGTGACTGTGAACGATAACGATAAAAATGAGTTCGTTTGAATTTTCATTCATGACACAAAAATTACTCACACGAATGCCCTTATATATAATGAATACGTAATTTGATGCCACTAGCCTTCAAACTACCTCAATATACACATATTTTACGTTTGATTTTGTTCTTCCACTTCACATTCGAATTAATGCATACTTCAGTAATGTGACTCAAATGATGATTCGTAAATTTCGAATGAGCTCACTGAGATGTATTAATGCATTTATCTCGGTAGATTTCATACTATTAGAACGACTTATTTTTTTAATCAAGTTGCTTATGAATAAGAGGACAATCCTTTTCATTGGAACCTCCAAAAATGTGGCATTATTTTGTGTAGTACTGATATAGTCAGGGAATTGTTTTTATCAAGTTGTTAATATCTGACAATAAGATGGAAGATCCATAAAATTATTGCTCCCATGAATAAATTCGTTTGTGAGAATGGAAGAGTTTTTTGTTCATTGGACACTTCCGAACAATTACAGGACTTCATTGAGCCAATCCACATTGAGAACACAATTTTCCTTCTCCGCAATCATCAAAGTGCAAAGAATATTGAAAAGGAAATTTCCACCTCATTCATTTTACATCTTACGAGTGCATCTTCGTTCCAAATTGTCAGTTTATTGTTTGCAAAAGCAACAAAATACCGCTACGAACTCTATAGGTGCAAGTTAAATGAGAAAATCGGCGCGATTAACTCAAATCCTTTTCCGAAACTGAAAGCAGTTCTTAGTGTCGAATTCAAACTGTCGAGACGACTCATCTATATCCTTTTCACAATAAAATCTAATTAAACATTTGAAGTGATTTCTTTCATGGATGTTTTTGTGTGCAATCAAGTCGGCAAAGCGAATCAGCTAATTCCAACGAATGTGTTATTCAGTTCCGCACTAAACATGCATCGTCGTCATTCATCATGTGCTCGAAGCAATGCAATGCATCAAGCAAAAAATACGAGTAAACAACAAGCCCTAACCCAGTCATACGGAACAGCCACTTTCTCATTTTCATTTGCTTAGAATGCGAAACATTCATGCCGCATTGATTGTAAGACACAACCAGATGAGGAGTACTGCTCCCTTGAGAAAGAAGCACGTCGTCTGTAGTTTAGATGAGGATGTATGTGTATTATAGATTCATGTAGTGTGGAAATACGGTGAGAGATGTTTATGAATAGAAGGAGAACAGATGGGTGTTTATACCGAAATGATTAATTCGAGAAACGTTTGACGCATATTTTCCCATCTATTCGAAAAAAGATCATTTTTCTTGCAATATGACTAAAAAGAAATTCCAGGCAAGATTGAAACTCGACGAAATACGTGGAACGTTCATATTCATCTGAGTACATTACCATAAAACACAATGCTGGTCAGCATTAATAGTGACGTTTTATACTCACAGACTACATTCAGCATTCTTATTCAATTCGTCATACACTATAAATTAATAAAACTTATAAGACCTTCGGAGAGAGCTCCTGGCAAATCCAGATCAATTTACCTTTGACAAGCGATTTTCTAAAATCAATCATCTATTATTTTAAGTGGTTGAAGCATTGTTTTCCCCTGCATCGACATACAACTGACTCTCAAAATATCACCTGCCCTGCGGAAGCATATCACTCTGCTATCGGCTCAAATAACCGACGTTGATCAAAAAATTCGCATTCAGAATTAATTAATGAAAGTGTTTCTGCTTTGATACCACTCTGAATAACTGTGTTCAGGAAGAGAACAGTAATCGAAGACTTAATGAAAAATGAGAGTTCAGGAATGTAGCTGTATCAAAGCAGAAACACTTTCATGAAAATCTATTTTTACACAGTGAGAGGAGTGTTTATCAATATATTATATATTCACGTTTCATTGACTCTACTTAAACTGCCTCTCAGTTTCAGCCTTGGAAATTATCGTATGTTGAAGATAAAAATGCTCGTTTATGGATTGCGACGAAATGAAATTATTCATATCATGACTGCTCATGGAAGCATTCACTAAAAATCGGATAATATATCCATATTAACAGGTATTAATCACGCAACTGTAATTCATAGCCGTATTGCACCTGTGAATTTCCTCATAAATCTATTACATGAATATTTTAATAGCACAGTCCATCCATTTTCGCCAAGCAGTGATCGTTCCAGTGAAGTTTCAAATCAATATAATGTTATCGAAATTCAAAAAATGCACGTTCAGAACATCCCCAAAACCGATGTAATTCCATAACGTTTTTGACTGGAACTTTCGAATTTCATTATGAAAAAACAACGCAGGCAACTAATAGAATGAATAAATTTCTTATTGATTATGACCGCAACTGAATTTCATCTAATGACACCGAATAATATCAATTAATTGAGTCATAAATAAATGCTGAAGTATGTTCCAAATAGCTTATTGTTGAATAAATAATTTCGAACGTTTTGATACTGTACTGTTGCATATCCCCAAGACAACAAACACTTAACTCAATTAACACTTCGATTTTCTTCGAAAGAGGATCCCCTCCGTGAATCATTAATAAGTGGCAACGATCTGTTTGCAAGATTCTATGATAATGAGGACGATAAGGATGACATTATGTGGATAAAAGAAGAAACGAAAGAGATAAAATCACACCATATGCGCTACGATTCTGTTTGGATTCATTCACGTTCATGTGCATGAATGTGTGTGGCGTATAATACGACCGACCGCTTAAAGTGATAGCAGCTCATCATGACAGATCGTTGGGATAAAGGCAAACGACGTCTTTATTTCATAAGAACAATCTGATTATACAATTCATAACATTGACTGATGATCGCATTCTAGCGATCGTTTTATAATTGCAATGATTGGTATGTCCTCTATCTTGATTAGATCTATCCGTTTAACACATAACAAAACATGTTCCCTTACACTTTTGAAAGCCATCCGACACTACTTATTTCGCGCTGTTATTTGATCAGCAGCAAACGATGCCGATTCACAACAGCTTAATCCCACTACCAGATGTTGGCAATTACTTTGATATGAGAGAAACAATTTGAAATTTTCATTTCAGAGAACTTCTCTCAACTAGAACAAATGAAATGAGGTGGCTTCCCGAAAAAAACACCAAACTGAATTTATTTCATACGAGTCACCAACAACTCATTATTCACGTATGCTATCGAACGGTGCAATTGCCTAGTGGTTATTTAGATCCAGTGTGTAATTTATTGCCAAAGCAACCAGTAGCACATGAATTGATGAAATACTTTTCGTGCACAATCGCATAAAAACTCGATGACGGCAAAGAAGCAGTAAAGAGTGACCTGTAATAGGAGTGCGCGATCGACAGTCCTTAACCACATGACAACATGTGCTGGTTCGAAATGACGTACCCGACATCGCTGCGAAAGATATTGCCCAAGGCCACGCAGCAGTTCCGAGGTGGAAGCTTGAATAACTGTTTTCCTTTTCACATTATCACCATGCACTGCAGCTGAATGCGATATTATTTCTTGGTTTTTTAAAGCGCAAGGCAGTTGCATTTGAGCGCATCTTAGTGTGTGTAATCAATTATGACAATATCTCAGTTGAGCATTCCTCCCAACTAAGCATCACAGTGCGACAAGTTGAATTAAGTCAAACTCACAATTACTGATTTCCTGACATTTCAACACTTTTTCTGCTAAACGTACCAAATTTGAGTCCATTTTTGAATTGTGTTAGCAGAAAACGAGCTATTTTACATCGGTTTTCTGCTTATGCAACTAAGAAGCTCGTCATATCAATAGATATTTCTACAGACTTTTGATGGAACAAAAAACTATTTTGAAATGACTCAATATCGATCTTATTCCCATTTGAGACAAGTTAATTTCTAACAAAAAGTTAACATCAAGATATTGTTTACAAATTTTGTGCTCAGTGCCTGGATGCTGCTTGTTCGACGCCGGAATATAAATGCCGAGATAATGCTATTCTAATCTCAAGTGATTGAAGAATGTGACAAGCATTAGCCATCTTCCAGTGGAAATATCAACTGTTTTCGACTGACTCTATCTCACATGATTTAGTCTCAAACCAGACTGAACCAATTCAGAACCGAACTCATATACACATATTATCAGTTGTGTTAACAATTGCGTTAAACTCGCTGCAAACATTAGGATCACGACACATTTATACAACAGAATTGTGACGAATGCAAACATTTCATTTTGCATAGAGATCCTCTGAAGGCAAATTAGAAATAACATTAACCTTTCTCAGTGTATGCGACAAGGGGTTTACTATCCGATTTGGTATGGTTTCCGGTTGATGAATTGGAGCTGTTACCATTATGACTGCTGAGGGATGAAACAGTCGATGAAGTTGTATTATGATCACTGGTATCATTACTGTTGTTGTTATTATCGTTGTGGTTATTATTATTATTATTATTACTACTATTATTATTACTATCATTGTCGTTATGAATACTACTTTTATGGTGAATATCGATCATATAGTTTTTACCAAATGGTTGTCTTTGAGCATGATGAGTTGGCGATAAGGGTGTTTTAGCTTGAGGACCTATTGGGCTGAGCAGATTGTTGTTCACGAAATCCTGAAATCATAACTTTCATGATAGAATGAACCCGAAGGTTTTATTAAGCAAGGGTTTTGAATTAAATGATATACAGCACCATATTCCACGGTATAAGATCTATCAGTGATCGAAATAACAATTTTATGATCAGTTTTCAGCTTGCTACATTAAGAGTATGGAACATAATTGCGCTTTGCTTTGGATAGAAAGGATCGAGAAGTGGTTTTGAGAATAACAACTGAATAGGAAATACTGAACGATATTATTAGCAATTTGATGATTCAATATTATTTATGTTGCTTAGAAACGATTTTCGTTCCGATTAACTCTGATATTGTGCAATTTCAGTGAGAAATCGCGTGCGAAAGTCGCAAGATACTCCTGAATTAAGGTTTCAATAAAATAAAAACGCTTCTTTGTAGTATTCACTGGATAACATTCTCACAGTAACATTAGGCGACTATAAAAATTCAATTCAGCACATGCCAACTGATTGCATCTGTGGCTATTTCCTTATTGCATTTGACGGCCCATTTGCAAATAACAAGCACAATAAATAGCAAACGTTTCAAGTAAGATTTCATTAGACGAAAACTGAAGATACAGTAATATGGTTTTATTTTAAGAGTTCATAAAACATATCGCAGAGAAGTGAATATGACTGATCGTGAGCAGAAAACGTGAATAAGATATTAATGATAGTAATATTAATGAAAATAATAATGATACTCACAAGAAATTGGCAAATCGATATGGGTAGACACGGGGGACAACTGAGCAATGCATTCATTGTGATGAAAAGCGTTATTCTCGTTTGTTAGTTTAAACAGCACTCAAATTAGTGTGGATTCTGAATAGTTGGGATGGTGACGATTTTTTGGATGGATGACAACGAGGAATGAGAAGAACGATATGCAAGAACGTATCGTCGCTGGAGTGCGAGTGAGGGAGAGCGAAACAGAATTAGAAACGAGAATTGGGATGAAGAAATAAGAGAGCGAATGGAAGGGAACTGGTGAAGAGTGTTCAGAGGAAATAAAAATTGGATAAGTTGCTTAGCTGAGAAATTCGCGAATATTGAATGCAGAAGCGAAACTAACTACATTCACACCGAATGCTGAAATACACCTGATTGAGACGGTTGCATGGTACTAGACCCACTTGAGCTCGCGGTAGGTTAAATGAGTAACAGTTGCTAATTAGACTGAATTTTGCTTCATGCTTCATGCGAGGATACAAGAATGCTTGAGTTGAATGTACTTGATCAAATAAGATGTTCGATAGGACGAGTGCGTTGACTGAGTGAATGGAAGATGAAGTTGAACAAGTGACCTCACTGGATAACGGACTATTTGACTGACGTGAAGCAATTTGAACGAAACAATAGCAACTGGTGACGATTATTAAGGAAGAAATTGGAGTAGTGTGAATTCATGACAAAAAGAGGATATTCACGATGGAAAAGTCGAGATCTGCCCACCGTCTGAATGTCAGTTTTCGATGAATACTCATCGGAACTAGTTTTACGGATGCGAATCAGTGAATTTCCATGTATCCCCTGACGGTATGCTACCGGTTAAAAGGAACTAATGATTAGCTGGAACAGTGGATCATAGACGATTCCAAACGTAGACGTTAGTTGAGCAGGTGTATTAAATGAAGGTTAGAAATGAAGAATCAAGAATGAAATCAACAGCGAAAACAACTTGAAAATAGAGACGAATAACTGGAGATATATGCTCAAATATGTCACGAAAACGTCTGCAGTGTTGTTACTACAGCTGGAAACGAGTAAGAAATTCTGATTCGAAGTTCAGTAAATTTCAATGGAATTTCCAAAATTCATGCAGCTGTATCAAGCGAGTATAAGTGTATAAGGTGTACAGGAATAACTGAAACATTCCATTTCTTAATTATTTATTTGCAGCTGCTGTGAAAGATAACGAAATTGATTTCATCTTACATTCACGTATCGCTTTCTGAGAAACGATTCATTAAGAACATGATAAATTAAAACACTAATGCATTTTTGAACATGACAACAGTTTTCTGTCTAATCATAAACACAATTCAAAAAACTTTTCTGATGAAACTTCGAAAATATTCATTTCTCCGCTGAATGGAGAATGACGATGAACAAAAGCCATGGTCTGAGGAATATGCTTGAAAGTTTGATAATTCGAGCTGATGGAATTCAAGCAGACATGAGAGGTTCTTATGTGCGTTTATCAGCCCTCGAAAATAAGATGAGGAATCCTTCAAAGTAGATAATCAGTAAAGAAGAGGGACTGTTTTAGAATGCAGACAAACTGAGCAAATAATGAAAGAGGAAGATCGTGATAACAACCAAATGTGAAGTTTTAGCATTTCATTGCATCAACAGATTGTTTTCATAGCATCAGCATCAACATATTCTGTTTCTGCTGAGCAAATAAACCGATTTTTTTCCAGAGGCCATATAGAATTGATATATCCGTTGTAATTAATTCATAACTCATTTCGATGCTTTTTGCTTTGCATCATTATTGAGCCATAAAAAACGCAAACGACGCATTCAATTTCTTTTTTTNTTTTTTTAGATTAATCGATTTTTTGCAGAGATTCTCATCGCGGCAGTTAACAGGGTGAGCGTAAATTTTTTCGTTTTAGTTAGTTTGTCATTTATCATTTTGTCATCAGTCACTTTGAGGATGACATCTTTCATTGCGTTGTGAATAACACGATTCCGTGAAGAGACCTCACTTTTACTAATAAATCAACACAATCGCATCACGTTCGACTTTTTTCTACATCGATCAATATCCTGAATATCAAATCTAGATAACATTCAAAAAAGTGAGTTAAAGAGTTCGATTAAACAACGAGCCGTTTCACATTAAAAGTCATTCTCAAGTTAATTTATTGATATCTGAAAGCGTAGCTGTATGTTTTCTAAACGAATTCAGGAGACAATTGCACACGACGATACATGCTCACTTCGATGAGTCAGAAATAATCACTCGGAAAGCGATGGTTTGTTCGAATACATAATATTGACGCTTTAAAGTGGCAATAACTCTGATAGATTGTCGTCTGGAAAGGAAAAACGAACTTTAGATACACAACGCATATGAACTTTGGAATGATTTTCAGAGTATTCAACGATCATGACTGATGTTTTCTTCAATTGGGCATCGAAGCTTGCATGCAAAAATGGTTCGCTGCAGTGCATGGAACTAATCATCTCACTCGTAAATGAGATAAACTAATGAGATCAGTTCCAAACACCCTAAAAAATCATTTTCTCTCACTTCCCGAATGAAAGATATAGGGCATAAACGGACATGCCTAGGAACGTAGGGTTAGGCTAAAACACTCAATTGATACACTCGTGACCGATATACCTGGAGGATTTGTGGATAGTGGGTCTTGTGAGTTAAGAATATAGTGGCTAATCTAAAGCGTCCGATCCATAGACTTCTGACGTACCGAAATGGCCAGTGCCAAAACGTCCTTCACCCGTATGTTTCAGTTTTGGGGAATGTTCTCGCTCAAACGTACACGATCAAATATAATATACAATAACAAACTCGCCTGTTTCGAAAGTTTCAATTCACGTCTAATTTCCTCACGAATAGTGTAAAAATTCGGTATTACAGTATTGGTATCAACTACAGTAATCGACCTTCGATGATTCGAATTAGCATAACTGTAGTTATTATTGTTAGTGCTGCTGTTGTTGTTGTTAGTCGGATTGGCATCGTATTTTTTATAATTTTGATTAGTGTCCAATGTGACTGGTAATTGAATATAAGGTGGTTCGTGTGTGCTGCTATTGTTGTGATAATTTGACGTGGATCGCAAGAGCATTGAATCGGTAGAACGAGACGATACGGTCGAGGTTCGTTTTGACGTTTGATTCTGAATCTGAAATTTGTTTTGGTGAATATTTTTGGTGATGGACGAACGTTTAATTCTGTTGAAGCATAATGAATCAATGAAGAAATCGTGTCTGAATGCTGATCACAAGAAAAACAGTTTGCTTGAAAACAAAAAGATTAAGAAAAATGATATGAGTGGTTCGGAAGGAATTTTTCGACACGGACAAATAAGCAGAAGCACTTTCTTAAATTAAAGAGCGACCAAAGGCTGATGCATTGGTGTGCTTAGAAGATGAATTATTTATTAATCCTACACCGCAACTAAAAACACACCATTTGCTTGACCGATAAATCCAGACAACTACTTTAGTATCATTATTGGAACACTTGGTTCTGGTCACTTTATAGCTTACAATTGCAGCTAGTTTGAATATCTTATTAAATTGCAAGTTCAGTAGTGATCACAAATGGAACTCTGAAACAGACTGGAGTTCTCGTCGGAAAATCAAAAATTTATGACTGAATGGAAACCAAGCGGAAGAAATACATCGATTGGCAAACTATGGTGATCGCATGCCTGTCCCAGGAATTAGGGAAATATTATTCGGATGGAGGATCCAACTCAAAAATTTTGACTTCACTTGATATTGTTTTTCGTTTGACTCTCCGACTGAAATGCATGTCACAATTTTCAGAACTGCGGAACAGGAGCTAACTCATTGGGCATCACTGGTCATAAGTCTTTATTGAACTACAATGATGACGAAAGTCTAGAACAAATATACCAATCAATGACAATATGAAGTCATTTCCGATTTAATAAACCACATAATCGGTTTCCTTTGTAATTCAGAACACCGATTGTGAAGGTACCCGTCTGACTTTCAGTCCTCAATTGACGAAAACTCTCAATGCTTCACTGCCGCAAACCGTGACTCCAAGCAGTCTGCGTTGCTAAATTCGAAAAAAATTCCTCCAAAAACTGTAACAAATCACATTCCCTAAGTGACAATCAGAGTGTACGGGGCCGCCCCGAAGAAGCGAACGAAGTCATCCGTTCCTACGGTCCCCCTGTGGATAAGAAAATTCCCCTGCATCCGCGGAGGGGAGGATTTATCAGAAATCCCCAACGGGGACCCTCCCGCAGGGCTCCTTCCGAACATAACTACCAATGTACTTCCCTATCAATGCATTGTTATTGTTATTATACCTCATAAATGCACTACTTAAATACTTCCCAGAACGTTATTGTTTGAAGAGTTCAATTCAGTACTTCCACAATTCTCGCACCTAAGCGTGTTACCAGTGAAAGTGATTCAAATAATAGCAAAAAATACTAAACGAAACCCATAGAACTGAGTTCAGTTTATGACTGAACAGATACTTGCGAAGCATTCGCACTAACACGGCAGATTGTTTCGCGTTTCAAGATTCATTCTGTCTTGCCTTAAACAGTGATTCAAAATAATGTTGAAATAACATCGCCGGGAATTTTCTTCACTGACATTTCTGATAGCCACGCATAAGAACAACTTTTACCACACACAAGAAATGCATTATTCACGCAATTACAGATTCGTAATTCAAATAGTAATAATGTTCTCTCAATAATCTCATTGACCACTGCAATTCCATTACCACCCATATTATTGCAAATAAGTCATAATCGTTCAAGTAATCACCTTCACTAACTTGATGCTGATTAATGAAAAAAAAACGCATGATGCAATAAGGACAAATTTTAAAGCATACGGTGNGTATGGTATACGAACGCAAGTGAAATTGAGATCAAATCCACAAATGTTTTCCAGATGAATAAAAATTGACGTCTTTTACAAAACAAAATAACACAGATTGCTTCATCTGCAAATGAATGCAACGACTACGAATGCATCACTTACATTTATTCAAGTACATGCATGAGTGCGGTCAGTTGCTATGGAAATGATTTTAGCTGATTAAAAGCATGTGAACTGCTTGATTTTTGAGAATAATTATTTCTATAATTACTAAACATCATTTTAATTGCACATCAAACATCAATGGACACGACGGGTTTTACTGCTTGCGAAAATCGTTCAAGTGATAGTAATCAGTGCGTGTTTGACGTTTCTCTTTATTTCGGCTTCATCTTCATATGAAAATGCAAACCGCAGAGTAAGCAAATAAAAATAGTTATATATTACGCATGTTTGTATAATATTTGTTCACTATGCATAAATATTTGTTTGCATTTATTTCTTTGATTATGCATTCAACTGCATCCATTTGTGTACGTATCTTGGTTGAAACTAATTTCGGCTCCTTTAAATGGCCTATAACTTAATGTGGATAAGCCATACCGTGCGAGAATTTGATGCAGCATCATTTCTTAAACTAACACTCACAGTTAATGCCTCTTTATTACATACTTCATTGACTTGCAAGACAATAAATCGCACTATTTTCATAGAAAATGAGATGAACTCGTTTCAAAAATGGTTATTTAAAAGGTGAACGATTCTTCTGCTGTACATGCAGTATCAGATTAGGAATTGACAGGGGCGAAAAACTGATAAAAATCCCATGATATTGGTCGTTTGCGTTGCACTTTCATACTTCAACTAAAACCGATAGCCGAGATCAGTGGTCCCAGTGCTCCATTACCTCCTTCGATGGTCTGGCAGGCCATCACAACCACCCTCCCTCTCCCTCCCGCTATAATAATTTATTATTTCCACGCATATCGTCAGATCTGATTTCCCAATCTCCTCCATTATCCTCCCCTGACATCCCCAAATTACTCCAAAATGGGTAATTTCCCCCCTATGGGAACCCCTGAACTAGATAGACTCATAAACGATTTATATGTCAATGGAGAATTTATTAGATAAATAAATAGACATAAAGAACGAATGGGAGTGAATAGTAGTAAAAGGTGTGTGAATAAATTTAAAAAAAAAACAACAACAAAACAGTGAATGAACAAGCAAACATGAAAACAAATGCCTTTGATACTATGGATAGAACCAAAAATATTCCTCGTTAATCAAGGACATATTCCATTTGAACATTCAATGAATTCAAAATATGTCCTTTGTGAAAAATGAATGATTACACGAGAATAGCGAAATGACCGATAAAAAGGTGATAAAGAGTGTGCAATATGCGACAGAATTTATAGTAAAACATTAGCGGAAACAACAAATTTGTGATTAAAGTCGATGTAATGCGACGAATGCACAATAAATATCATATTGAATCATTTAATTATTCATGTGCACTTGAATCGTGAACCTATTCTCAGGTGTCATGAACCGTTATGAAATGAATGGAAAATACCTGCTGTGCAGCTTTCTTGGACCAGTTCCATCCAACGGCCAACACTGAGTGATGTTTCTTGGTGGATTCGCTCATTGGATGTGTTCGAAACAATGGCGGTGGTGCACTATCGGACGGTTGAAACAAATGATTGCATACACTGGTCGGAGGACGATGTGGCAGCGGTGATGTCAGTGATGCACCCATTTTGTGATGTACTCTTAGTGTTATCAGTATTCAAATTATAACTGCTTTGAAAGTTCAGTATTTATTACCATATATGTGAATAGTCATTAATAAACCATCCAGCAAATCAACTGATTATTAATGAGCAGTTAGCATCATTGACGAGTACTCTCAAGCATTCCTTTGTTTAGAGTTTATCACTTCCGCCTAACGATTCAATCGATTCTCCGAACTGAAATTGAACTGAATATTTGAAGACCTTTGCCACTTTTCCTTGTTTTGAACTCATCAGCTCGCCGCGATAATGACGTTAAATGCCGAAAGGTCAGCAATGAAATGAATAAAACAATTTCTTCATGATCATTGACTACCTTCAAAATATTGTTTACAATTAGACAAAATTCGTTTCATGGAATGCCCTAATGAAATGCTCAAATTGATAACGATGTATAAACTGAATAATTGGAAGCTAATACTGTATCAAACCTTTGCACAATCCTACAATAATACCGAAATTATTATCAAAGTGTGAATGCATGATGCAACAATCGCGTTTCACTGAACAAGCGTCAAAGAAGTGCTCGTTGACGCTTACAATGGAACGAATAAATCTCAGCGCACTTAGGTAAACATAAAAGCAAATAGCCACGAACTCCTCGGTTACGTAAACCGAGGTGAACAGAATTCAACATTCGACTTTGGTTGACATACTTAGAGTGTTATCATCCGATCAGCATTATCATAAGATTGTTTGAAATCCGTTGTAAGCGACAGATTCACCGCTGCTTATAAAAACGATAAAGTGAAGCAAATCATTATAACAAGAGAACATGATATGGGAATGTGTGATTCAGTTGATGAAACTCAAATGGATGATCGCAACTGGAGAAATTAATCGAAATTCTGTAGCGTATTTACAGCAATTTAATTGTTTTCCACTGAAGACATTCAAATGAGTACGAACATCAAGTTTTGGAATGAAAAATGAATGTATTAATCGGTAACTGATTGTTGCGGTATGAAAAAATGTGACCGATGAAAAGTTGAGGTCTAACTGCGAATGAACAGATGCATATAAAACACATTCGAATATGAAATGTATAGATGAAATTTGTATTTCGTTCGGTCTTCACTCACCGANATACCTCTCCAAATAATTTGAAATCAATGTTTAAAATGCGATGAATTTGCAAACTGTTTGACATTCATCTGTATGAAGCATGGATTATTGGTCATAATTTGGAAAATATTCAATGCTCACTAGAAATTTAAATGATTTGTTGTAACACAGTAAGATCAAACCAATTAAAAACATGATCAGTGCTCACACTTTTTTACGACAGTCCCGTCTTTAAGATGAAAAGGTTTCGTTTACAATTGCGGAATGTTCTTACTGCTGAAAATTGTTGTGAGAAACAATATTTTAGTGTACTTTTAGTCATTTCTGGGTAATTAAGGTCAATGATGAGGCTGGCGACGATAGCGTGAAACTGAATTGGATTTAGAAATGATCGGAAACGATGGGACGAAGTGGAAGTAGACGAATGCACTCGGAAAATGATATGGCTTTGGAAGGAGGATTGTGGGGTTTATAAGAGGACGACGAGAGAACGAAAGTGAATGCAATTGAACGCGAAATATTTTTTGTGCAAACTGTGGATGCAATCAATCCCTTTGAGAATAACGAAATTCATTTCGTGAAACACACAAATTCGAGTGTTAATAACATTAAAGAAAATGAATTTTGAAAAGAAGCTTCGTTCATTTAACGATGGCAATCTGCTTTTTTTGTGGATTCGTTATCATTTTATTGCTTGAAATAAATTGATAAATTGCAGAAAATGGATCGAACTGGCTGCTAGAATCGATTGCAATATCCTCAATGAGATAATTCCAACTGGAATTTTATAAACGACAAGCTTATTGATGAAGAAATTGATGCAAATTGTATGATTGCAGTATACAAATAAATGTATAATGTAAAAGAGAATTTTCAAACTGTGCAAAAGGTGGACGAAAAATGGAAGTAACATATCTTGAATGAGTGCGCGACGTCAGGTTTATGAAGGGTACATTTGATTGATATCGTTTGAGAAAACAATCAATCAGAAGGAACTATTCAATACGGTAGTATCAGAACGTTGAATGTAAACGGTATCGTCCACAATGAGAGAGATTCATGGGCACGCTAGCGAATTCAACGCTTCCGGACAGAAGAATGAGCACAGGCAACGTTGTTGATGGGTGCAATTATATCGCGAGGCTGATTGTAAGAAATAACGTTAAGAGGCCATTAAAAAACTCATTTCAAAAACTTGAAATTCACATAAAAACAAAAGAAGTTTTCGATCGCTACAAGAAATCTCGAAAAAAATTCATTCATCGTTCAGCCAGCTATCTAGAGGAATGTTATACTTAAAAAATGTTTGCCGAAATGCAATGTGTGGTATTACTGAAGAAATTCAGTGGAATCATTTCGTTATTAACCAAACTTTTTTCAAAACGTAACAATTAAAACGTCATTTGAACGTGTCAACAAACTAACAAAGGAAGTTTACAAGGAAAAGTTACGAAATTTTTGCGTTCCTCGATGTGACACTGAAATGTGATTTATTAACGATCCCACTCGGGCGCTTCAACTGGAGCCACCTGAAACTGCGTTCATTTCGTTGAGGCTAAAAGATGCCGCGAAATCATTTGAGGAAACAATTTGACGTTGATAACGATCAGACTCAAAACTTCTTCGGTTGTGATATCCCGATAAAAATCAATAGCTTGTTTCGTTCATAACAACTTTCAGTGACAGACGACATGAACTAAACTTAGATTTCGCTATGAATAAATCAGCGACCAGTGGTTTTCGACCGATGAATTTCGTGTGTTATTGATTTCTTTGAAGTTGACAGATTAATGCTTCTTCACAGCACTGCGTGCTTCGCGAAAGGTCCGCAGAGCCTACGAGATGACAAAACTAATGTAATGTTGTCACCAAAGTACAGCCCCAGCTGTTGCAAAATAAAATAATCAGACGATGTGAAGGCAAAGCGCTCTTCTAGCAAGTGAATTGACCACTTCTATCAAACACACCAAAGCAATCAAAGCAAATATTTTCTACCCATTAATGCTTATCAACATTTATCGCACACAACAACTCCTTATCAAAAATTCACTCAACGATGAGATTAAATAAATGAATGCGTACTATCCTCACAATCACTTAGGATGGCTATCTAATTGTAAGATATACGAACCTTAACAAATAGTTCCGCACAACTAGCATCAGTAACATCCATCTAACAATCTTCCTCACATTCCACACCTTATTTATCTCGAAGAAAGCAATCCTTTCAACGATAGATATGGGTTCGAAAAGGATAAGAAAATAAAAGCGCGATGAGTCATCGAAGACGGCCACTAGCTGTAGCATGTATATGTATCTGGGCAAAGAAGCCACAAACAGCAATCTTCTTTGTCACTAAAAAGTGTCATGCAAAGTGACAACAAAACTGATCCAGCATCCATCCATCTATCGACATCCATCCATCCATCCATCTCAGCTCATATTATACTCGTTGATAAGATGCCGTTATGTCTGTATTGTGCATCATTCAATGGTGGACATATTTGTGTGTATGCCTCTAGGCTACTAGTCCTCTCATGTCTATATTCGTCTATGTTTACGGCCTAGGCCAGTAGTAATCGGCAACAAACAACGAACCCGTTTTATGGCCTATGCCAGCAGCCAACGCTCGTTGCCGTTGCTCTCTTCAGTCATCAGTTCGCAGTAATCAATCTATACATCTATGCATTATGCACAACAACAGACAGTCGTTAAATAGCTACAGCCCAGTGCTAACTTGCCGTTTATGAGATAATCTATGTATGAGCATATGTGTGGATGCATTGGATCGGATTAGTGAAAATGGGTTGGTTGTATTTGAGTAGACATTCGCTTCGATGACTCATCCGTACAAGCTATTGGGCAAACGCACGACAACCGACTGACTGGATCGAAAGAGGGGAGAGGGACTGGGAAAGGATGAAAGAAATGAGAAAATTCAGTATGATGAGAATGGTACTTTGAGATGATATGGCTTCGCTCATTATAACTGGGCCAGTGGTTCATGTAAGGCGGAGATGAGATTGAGACTGCCAACAGGGAAATTGAGGAAGTTGGTAAGTCATGGTTAATTGAATTTTTTCACAATTCTTTCTCAGTTGTTCGACTAGCTTCGCAAAATATCTGCTTGATCACAGAGAACTGATTGCCTTGCTGTAACCTAGGAATTTATGGCAGCACTTTATTGAGCAGTGGTGTAATTTCGGCAATTTTTTCTCGTTGTCAGAGGAGCGAAGCAGAATTGCTGTCATGTAGGTTGTTCGAAAAGAAAACGGCGGTCTGCCGTATGGTCAGAGGGAGGTACAGAGCGTAAGAGGGAATCTGCTGAAGTAGTCGGATAATACGGCACCCCTAGATATGACTTTTTCTCTTAAAATTACCTGTTAATTAATCCTATTACCAATTTCAGAACAGATTACTTGTTTTAAATGCAACCGCAGTATTGTAATATTAGACTAGCCATCCCCATAGGGGGG